TTATTAAAGTTCTAAAAGGACAAACGCAAACTGCCATTATGGATAAGTAAGAGAGATAACCAAACGCAAACTGACAGAGCAAATGTTTGTAAGAGAAGATAACTCACTTCACTGTCATTAATGTAAATTCATTGTAGACATAAAGATGAATGTATCCAAAGACTATAAAATAAAATTTCTTACCTGGAAGGCTGGATTCTGTAACGAACTCACTGGTCTGCAGAGAACAGAGATGATGGGGACTCGGTAAGTCAATGACAGCGAATACACAGAGAAGTTGTCCATGACGGCGGCGTGACTCGTGAATCGTGAGTGATTGATTTACGACGAATGGCAGCAGAGAGTTAGACTTAGGGTTGAACGAAAAATCGCAAATGGTTTTGACTTTTTGAGTTTTGTTTCAGCTTTGAAATGGGTTCTGCGTTTTTGTGTATGAATGGGTTATGGGTGCTATTTGCAATTTTGACAACTTAAAAACAAAAAACTTTTGAAATCTTGCAAATTGGCCCTAAGCTCTTTTAGCTCGCGAGTCTGATGAGCCGAGCTTGGCCCGGATCGAACTCGGCTCGTCACTGTTCACGAGCTCGAGCTTAGAACGAGCCGAGCTCGGAGTAGCTCGCGAGCTACTCGGCTCGAGTCTCATCCCTAAGACTGCATAACACTCCTGAAACTCAAAAAAAAAAAAAAAAAAATGCCCAAGCTTCACAATCACAAAAAGAACCATACAAACTGCAAAGTTCTTCCCCGCCCCCCCCCCCCCCCCCCCTTAATGATCATGGATTCACTTCCGATATTTCATGATCATAACTTACGTAAAAGATTATGCTGATTCAATTAGGAGAGACATTCGAATCTCATTTAAAGTTTATTATCACAACTTATAATCTATGATTGAATCCTGATACAATCATAATTTATTTTTGTTGTCTGAGGATGTGCGATCAGCTTGGAGCGAGTTGTAGTTCAGCATAACTTCTGGGACGACGACCATGGTTTTAAAACCTTGCCTGGCCCGGTTGATTAAACCAGTTGAACCAGGAACTGGTGATTGAGCCGGGTCAGTTCGACTAAAAAATTGGAATTTTCAAATGACCTAGTTTGATCCGTGGTTGGACCGATTTTTTTGTCACGAACTGTCGGTCCAACCAGTTTGACGCAACAGTTGAACCGCTTTTTTTTTAATTTTTTTATATGTCATGTTGATGTTAGAATGATGTCATCATGCTGACATTAGACCTGGCAAAATGGGTCCTTACCCGCGGGTCGGCCTATACTCGAGTAAATAATATAGGGTACAGGTCCTCAAGACTGGACTCGTTTTTTTGGACCCGTACCAGGCCCGGCCCGTTTTGTAAATGGGCAGTCTGGGTACACACGTGGGTACCCGTTTGAAATTTCAAAATAAAAAATAAACAAAATAAATGCCAAATCCCTAACTCTAACATAATCACATTACAAACTCAACTCCATCTTTTCCACTGTCGCCACTTCAGCACTTCCTTAATCTCAATCCAAATAGAAAACCACTCTTTCAATCATCAACCTTTCAAATGGCTTGTACGAAACAAACACTCAAACAACAAGGAAGTTCACCGAAGGCAAGGCGCTACTTAAGTAGCTAGCCAAAAACTGCTCGAAAGTTAACTTCAGTGACAGGAGGAGTGAAGAAGCCGCACTGTTTTCAGGCTGGGAACTATGGCTTTGAGAGAGATCATAAAGTACCACAAGAGCATAGAGCTTTTGATTGGGGTCTGCAGATTTTTGTTGTGCTGGATAAAGAGGATAGCGGCAGAAATTGCCTTTTTAGGTCCTTGTTAGGTTGTGCAGATTTTTTGTTGAGTAGGTTTTTGTGGGCAATGGAATTATCTAGCTGTACATATGTTGGTTTATGCTTGCCATTTATAGTAGGGGTGTTCGGTTCTGGGTACCCTGTATTTTTTGAAGGAACCGGAATCGACGGTTCCTTGAAATTTGGAACCAGAACCGGAACCGACGGTTCCAGTTCCTAGGTACCCAGACCAGAACATGTAACAACGGTTCCAATTCTGGTTCTGGGTACCCTGTAAATTCATGACCCCCCATAAGTTTTTAAAATGACAAAAAAACTCTTAAAAACTTACAAATACCCCCCACCTAGCACTTGTTAACAAAAATAAAATTACAAATTATAAATTCAAAATTACAAACTCCATTACTTTATAAAGGTACATTCTCAAAAGTCAAACCAACTTACTTTAAATGTTATGAAATATAAATGTATTCACATTACTTTTTCTACAAAAGTTTTTATTAATCCCTATAATCTTTAATTTTATTTTATATTAGTCTCGGTTCTTTGTTCTTGGTTCTGGTTCCAGTTCCAGTTCCTAACTATAGGAACCGGAACCAGAACCAGAACCGCACAGTGACGGTTCCAAAAATTTGGAACCGGAACCTACCCGTTGACGATCAGTTCTGGGTAGGAACAGGAACCAAACCCGGAGTACCCGCCGGTTCCAATTCCAACCGGTTCTTTTGAACACCCCTAGTTTATAGGGTCTGTGTGCTTTTTGTTTTTGCTGCAGTCTAAGGATCTTTTTCTTCTCCTTTTGATTGCTTAGTTGCTGGGTTCCAGGGATGGTTTGACGAAGGGATCTATTGATTTGGTATGAAAAATGGGTTTTTTGTAGGATTAATTTGTGTTGCTTTATTTGAAAATGGGTTGTTTGCTTTGTATTGTTTTTTGTTGAAGAATTGGGCTGCTTTAATCATATTGATTTGAATTCATTTAGATGTGAGAAATTTAGTTTTACTGAGTTTGGATTTACTTTATTCATACTTGAAAGATGAAAATTGAACAAGAGAAACTTTTTGTTTTCAACCAAGAATGAAAAAGAGTGAATTTAATTGAATTTGGAGTAGATGATTATGGGGGGTAACTGTAAAATATTAAAACTGCATAAACTGTGGGGGGTGTAATTGCAAGAATTAAAAACTAGAATGAATAGTGCGGGCACCCGCGGGTCCACCTGTACCCGCATTGGGTAGGGTACCGGTCCAATATTTAGGACCTGTTTAAATCAACCTGTTTTGGGTCTGTACTCGTAAGACCCGACCCGTACCCAGCCCACCTGTTTTGCCAGGTGTAACTGACATAAGCATGATGACATCATGGTTCGACCTGACGGTTGAACCGGTTCGACCCGATGACTTGACCAGGTCACTCCCTAAGTTGGGTTTTAAAACCTTGGCGACGACCACATTGAAGTGAGTTGTCGTTGAATTGGAGCAAGCTATGTCCAAGGTGAGGTGAGCTGTTTGGTAGTAGTCTTCCAGATCGTGGATAACCTATCACCATTGATAAGTGTTATCCCTTAAAATCAAGGAAAAGATGACTGCATTGACTCCTTGTAATCTCAGCATAATAACTATACCAAAAATCATGGCATTATCCTTAAAATCCCTCTTGTACCAGCTGTAATTCCACCATACCCCTAAAAATCATTGTAAAAGGGGTTGGCAAATATTGAAAGAATATACTCTTACTTGTAATTGCCATAAAAACATATCAATAAAAAAATAGTGGACGTAGGTTTGATTTTAACTCGCTAAACTACTTTAAAAACTGATTCTTGTGCTTTATTCTTTATATTTTGCTGATTATTCATAATTACACTCACATCTTACTCACTTCCATGAGGGTTGATTGAATATCTCTAGTTGTTACGAGATTTTGTAGCAACAATTTTAAATTGAGAAGAAATATTATTTAGGTGAATACTAAATCCTTAGGCTCTCATTTACTCCTTATAATTAAACCTTACACATATGCTTGTTGTTTGTTCTATAGCATAATTTTTGTTTATGTATGGATAAACACTCGAAAGAGGAAGGAGATCGGTTTATTTATTTTTTCAGTTGTGACATAGTAGATTTGAGTTGTGCTTTTAATTACCAAGTTTGGAACTTTGAGGTGAGATGGTGCACAATAATACATACTTACAAAAATTTTCATACAAAATAAGATGACAAAAATGAATTGAAGAGCGAAACAAAAAGTCAAATTCATTATATTCACTCTTCTATTTATTTTTTGTCATATTACTTTGTATTTTCTTTATAAATGTAATATTTCTCAACCCGGTATATGACGCTTGTAGAGTATTTGTGTATTTATTTGCTCTAGTGTGCGATGTAAAGGTTTTGGTGAGGATAACTATGAATTATGGTATATATGTATATGTAATAGTTCTCTAGTCAATATCATATTTATATAAATGACTTATTTATCGTTAGATTTTTATATATAAAATATCATCTTAGATCTTTATATATAAAATATTATCTTAGTTCAATAAATGAATCCAACGACATTTAAACATAATTTTGACTAGAGAATCTCATCTTATAATACTATCAATTATATTAGTTTAGTGTCACTTTGGTTAGTTTATTTATTAGCCTAAAGAACTTTTTTAAAGTTATAAATAGGTTTGATTTTATTTTTTAAGTTTATATTTCAAAAGTGCTTATATAATTATAAATAAATTAATTTTACAGTTTATGAGAAGCTGAAAATTAAAGCTTCTTCTATAAGCTCTTCTTCAGCTTATTTAAAGTATTGAAATTTCAAAAATATCCCCCATATTTCATGAATTTGATTATTATTTTTTTGTATATTAAAGTCTTTTTTGGTATAATTTAAGACTTCAAAGCAATTTCCCATCGCCATTCTATGTAAGATAAAAATCCAGTCAAATGAGCATTGTCCACAACATCCTCTAGGCCTATTTCAGTTCCAGTTTTTGGGCCCTGTAACAAGAGGCGCAGGCCTCAACAGATTGCGTTTATGATCCAGCCCTATAAAATAATGGGCCACCACTATTTGGGCCTCGTGGATAGGAGTTAGCCCAAAACAAAGCCCAGTACAGAGCTAATTTGACATCTGTTACACGAACCGAAGAAAGTTTCGAAAACGCGGATTGTTTTAGCTAAAGCTTACCTGACAAGACTAGACCTTTTCCTTATCTTACCTTACCTTGCCTTGCCTTACCAAACCAAACCAAACACTTGCTGCCCAAAAAGAAAGAAAAAGAAGGAAAAGAACACCACCGCACCACCGAATATTTAGATAATCTTCACAATAATTAAAGTCGCCTTTGTTTAAACAGTATAATTCATCTGTTTCTTTTCATTTCTTTGACTCTTTGTATCCTTCTTTCTTCTATTTTGAATCTCGATCACGGAGCTTTCTACATCTCTTTCTCTGATAATCCGGTAAATATTCCTCGCTATTTGAATGTATTTTAATTTCTCTGAATTAATTGCTGAATTTCATCTTTTATTATTTTGTTGTTTTGTGTGGACTTTTTTTGTTTCTCTTGTTTAGTATTTCTTGTTTGTAGATCAGTTTATACAGATCCGATGTTGATCGTTCTTTTTTGAGCTTTTAATTTTTTTTTTTTTCTCCAAAGTTATTTGTGCTGGAATAGGTTTTATTTTGGGGAAATTTATTGATAATTGTAGCTGATCTGATTAGAGATACTTTTCATCGGAATCAATGGTTGATAATTGTTATTGAAGNGATCAGTTTATACAGATCCGATGTTGATCGTTCTTTTTTGAGCTTTTAATTTTTTTTTTTTCTCCAAAGTTATTTGTGCTGGAATAGGTTTTATTTTGGGGAAATTTATTGATAATTGTAGCTGATCTGATTAGAGATACTTTTCATCGGAATCAACGGTTGATAATTGTTATTGAAGTTGGTTATTCATGACTGATTTAAATTTTCATAAAGTTTTGGTTTATTTTTCTCCGTATCGAAAATTTAAAATTATTCAGTTTCTTTAACGTTATTGAGCTTCGTGTCGTATTCGAAACAGTTAATTTAAGGTTTTGGGATGCTGTTTAGACGCTGTCCGTTGGAAAACACAAACAAAGACTTTGTATTGTTCTTACAGCATAATTTAGTTTTAAAAATTTTATGGAAAAGTTTTTTTCTAAACCTTCGAACTAAAGGTGCTTTTTTTGGATTTTTCACAAGAGCAAAGATTATATCTGACTTATAATCAGACAGGCCCTAAGCTTTATCAAAATTTGAAGTAACTAGAAAATGTATTTGGTGCAATTGAGAGATTGTAATCTTACCCAGATATTTGAAGATAGGTAGCTGCCTTTGAATTTTTTTTTTTTTTAATAATTAATTATGCGTATGTTGTTGACAATTTCTTTTTCCAATTTTTGAACAGGGACAATGTCTTTTATGCGAAATTACCGTCCACAAGGAGATGGCTACCATGATGGCCGTTGGTCCTCTTTCAATAGAAATAACTTCATCAATAATAGTAACAGGAACAGAAGTTGCAATTACAATCATGTTAGAAATTATAATGATTTCCACGACTACTCCGGGAAATACAGGGAACATTTTAATTATGTCCAGCCCGACAATGCACCATCATACAAGAGGAGAAAATTTTCAGCTTCTTCCTGGGGAGATAACACAATGAACTATTTGCCACAGCCCAAGGGATATGAGAGTGGTGCACCATCAGCCTACAACAATTTGGTTCCACCTGCTTTGAGATCTAATACTGAGGTCTCTACGTCAACAAGTTGTAAACGTGACCGCTCAAAATTGGATGATGAAGAACCAGTGTTTATGTCGAGGGATGAAATTGAGAGACACTCGCCTTCAAGAAAAGATGGTATTGATGCAGTACGTGAAACGCATTTACGGTATTCATATTGCGCTTTCATTCAGAATCTTGGATTCCGACTTGAATTGTAAGCTCTCTATCTGCATGTCTTAATTTTGTGATTTGTTTTTATTTACTGTATGGGCTTTGTAACCTATCACTTGTGGTGATTATAATCCTCATCTTCTGTAGTTTTCTCCTGCCCTTTTATATTAACAATAATTCTATTCTACAGACCACAGACCACCATTGGCACTGCCATGGTTTTATGCCACCGGTTTTTTGTCCGTCGATCACATGCCTGCCACGATCGATTTGTAAGTTACCAATTCTTTCATCCAAAAGTTTCAGTTTATGTTCTGCTATTTCTTGGAGGCTTGTTTCCAAGAAGCTATAGTACTGTGTAAATGTGTCAGAAAAACTGGTTCTACTCATTTCGTGGCTTTAGTTTTCATGGATATATATATTTTTCAATGATTTGATTTTGAAACAGTTGATTGCTACTGCTGCTCTCTTTCTTGCTGCAAAGTCTGAGGAGACACCTCGTCCTCTAAACGATGTAGTGAGAGCCTCTTCGGAAATTTACCATAAGCAGGATATTACTCTCTTGTCCTATCTGCTTCCTGTTGTGAGTGGTTTCTGTCTCTGAACTCCCTCTGTTTTAACATGTAAATAGGGATATATAGGAACAAGTGTTAGGCAATTCATTCATGGATTGACTGCTTCATTAGAGTTTTCTGCTCATTTGTTTAACTTTTTTATTAAATTTATAAAGTTAATGCTGTCTGGTAATTATAGGTATCTATGCAGAATTGTTAAGAAACTTTCAGGGATTCTACTCAATTATGCATGCCAATATGCCTGTAGCATGATGTGAACTTAAGAAAGTAAGGTTTTTAGTGTACTGACATGAAATTAATTTTGTATCAAACAGGACTGGTTTGAGCAGTATCGAGAGCGGGTGACTGAGGCTGAGCAAATGATACTGACTACTCTAAATTTTGAACTAAACGTGCAACATCCATATGGTCCTCTGACATCCATTCTTAACAAATTAGGTCTTTCACAAACTGTTTTGGTGAATGTGGCATTAAACTTGGTCAGTGAAGGGTAGGTTCAAAACTTTCTATGTTTTCAATGATCTTGTAATTTATTGAATGCTTTTATCTGACAGGTACAATGCATTTGTAATGATCACTTCAAGTAGAATTACAGATGTGACTATCTAGTACATGTTGTTCACTTTGATTCTATACACTATGGTCTTTCAATTTTTTTTTTTTTTTTTTTTGTCACTTTTGTACTATGATTCTGATTTTGCTCTCTCCTCAGGTACCTGTTTGGTATGGATTATTTTGTAGTTGGCTGGAGTATTTCAACTAGAAACCTAATTTAGGAACAAGGAAGTGATCTTGCATCTTGATTGTGTATATCTTTTATATGTTGGGGCTAGTGGGTGTTTCAGATCTCAACCAGTTAGCCGACTGAGGTTTCGGGTAGTAAGGGCTTGGAGGATACACTTCCACTCTTTTTTGGTTCAAATTGTGTGCTAATTGTGTCAATCATTTTCTTCTTCAGAGCTGCAACTCTGCATAGTTATTCTGGCATGGGATATTGATTCTTTGGCATGGCATAATATTGCAGGGGCTACACAAGATTAGCATGCTCACGTGTTTGATACTGTTAGCTGGCGGATTGATATGCTGTTCATGGAAAGTTTTGTTTTTAAAGTTGAAGTTGACCTGCTGATGTATTGTTGATCACTTTAAGATGCATACCCTATAAACTTGGTCTGAGCTAGTAAAGAGAGCTGCAGAACCTCTGATGCCAGTCTGATTTTACTTTTAAATTCTTCTTTTTTTAAAGTTTCACTTTTATTAAAAAATGATCTCTATTTGGTACTTTTACAAACTCAAGTTTTTGAAATCTGGCAACTTCTCGCCATACTGTGTATTTTCAGTGATATAGACCAAAACCATTGACTTAAAGTGGACTAATATTTCATGTATGGTTTTCTTTTACCCCATGATTTTTTGAGGGTTTGCCAATTTTTTTAGTTTTTTTTTTAATTTAATCGGCAATCATACTCTGGTTTCATTTTTGTTAAACCTTTTTGGAGGAATCAGTGTTACACAATTTTCAAAATATGACTAGATTTTTTGAGAAGAAAATTCATGGTGTATATACATATATTTGATAGAAATAAAATTTCATGAACTTTTCTACCTGTTATCTATGTATTGGGCTATCACTCTTTTTTGGGTTTCTACTTTCTAGCCCAATAACATGCATGTATGATAGGTTAGCCCAAAATATTGTCTATTTTTTTGCTTAACTTGCTTTTTTTTCTTTTTTCTTTTTAACTTGTATGGCACATGAAAGGACAATGTTCTTATATAGCAGAGGGTGGAAAAGATAAAAAGATGAAGGATGAGGCATCCTTAATGAGAGAGAAAAAGAGAAAGAAAGAAAAGAGGGGAAAAGAAACCAGGCCTTGTGACTAAGAAAAATAATTAATTGAAAACCTTTTGTCCATTTTTCTGTTTGAATGTCCCGTAGAAATACTGTAGAAAGTTAAGGTTCCTACACCCATTACCCCTCCTCAAAATTGCATCAGACTTCTCTTTCATTTGTTTTTCATTTTTCCCCTCTCCATCCTAATATTTCTTATACGCAAAATAAACTTTTGTCTGAACATTTGTTCTTATTTTCTCTAGCAATTATGGTGTATGATGCAAAGGTGAAGTTATAGACGGTTGATCGATTTCAGCCAGTTATTGGCAGGTTGTCAATGCTCAGAATTTTTTATCTTTTTTGGGTGGGGTTTAATTATCCTTAGTTTTCTATCAGTTTTTGGGTGTCTCAGATGAAATCAGGATTTTGAAGGGCTTCAAGTATGTTGTGTATCCTTTATTTTTTGATGTAACATTGTATTCGTCTTTGTTTTTTTTTTACTTCATTGAATCACTTTTCTAATTTGTTGTCCTTGGACCAGCTAACTTGTTTTTGTGCATTCATATGTGGGTAGCTTTTTGTTTTTTCCAATATTTTACAAGGTATGGGTCACATTTCTTGATATCTTAATTGCATGTCAAACATCTAAATGAGTAAGATTGGTGATGATGTCAGTTCCGCTATGTCAATACGACAAGTAGGATAGAGGATAAAGTAAAAGTAAATTACTTCCTAAAATGACCACTAAAAATGTATTCTAGATTCTCCATGCTTACACTAACATGTGCATGAAGATACACACACTTGAATAGTTGCCTATAAGTTGATGAGCTATTTCTTTGAAGTTCAAAAGGAGTCATTACCTTCCATGCTAGAAATGATAGTGCTGGGGTGGTATAATTGCTTGCAGCTCATGCTTTTTCTAATTCACCCACGCAAAATTGTTAGCATTTTGATTGGTTATTCACTACTTTATTCTCGTATTTATCATCATCATTATGATCATCAGCTAATTATGGGTCACCATTGACAGAAGATCTTATGTAGCCAATCCTGAGAAAGGGACAGTGTTGGTATATAGAGCCGTATAGGAATCTGTATTTTTTGGGGGCTGACCAAACATGCCTGTGCTAATCACTTCCCTTAGCAGGATAAGCTAAGATTTGTGTCTGATTGATATTGTTTGGGTCGTTCTGAGGTCTGAGCTAATAATATATAGACCTTGAGGTCTTCGCAACATTAGTTGCACCACATTTGAGAACCAAAAGTTAAAAACAAATAAAGATGAAGTAGATGTTGTAGTTCAGAAATTAATGCCTTAAGCATTTGGCTCTGGTGGGTTTGGGCTATCATTTCTTCCTAGGTTCAGGCATGGGCTGGGAGTCTCCAGTCTGAGTTGTATATTGCTGAATTTGTCAGCAATCTGAATAGATAATACATCATATTGACCTGGTCCGTGTCCAGCCCTACTTTGCGACTGTTCTAGAGGTCATTGTCTTCTATGACAGTTGCATATTTACAAAAGGCTTCTCCTATAACGAGTGAACAATTGCCTAATCAACCCTGAGAATTGAAGCCATTTGTTACTCCTGAAAAAGTCATTTTGTATATCCAGATTAATTCCAGAAGAGTCAGATGAGACGGTGAATTTATGGGGCAATTTGCTAAGACATTGTTGTAAATTTGATACTGGTACTTCCTCCCGCAAGAATAATATTCTTCACCTTGCTTTCAAACAGAAACATTTTTCTTTGAACACACTTTACCTTGCTTAAAATATCCTTTTCAGTCCTGGTTACTGTATATTCTTGGAGTTCTCTATATGTAAATCCTTGTTCAATAATCAACTATCAACTACTATTTGGAGTTAAAAATGGTGTCAATTCGAAATCTCTAGTAGTTCTGATTTTTAAAATCTGATGGATCACCTCTCAGGCTCTTCTGTGCATGTATCATGGGTGGAGGTTGAATATATATTTTCTGGGGCCTAAGACGCAGAAAATAAGTTGAGTTTAAATTGTATATATTGTTGCCCCCAGATATCACTATTGTAATATTCTTGAAAGTTCCTACACTTGGGTAATATAATCTACCTACTATATTATGAAAATAAATATAAGAAAAGATATATGTTGTAATAGAAAATTTCTTTTAGTTTTATCTCATGTGATAGCCTTCAGTTGAGGATTTGTGTAATATGTATATGTATGCTCCAGGAGCATCAGAGCATGCATGTCAACAAGCCTGTCCAATTGATCAGAAGACACAAACACTTGCCTTGAGAAATTTAACTGTTTACAATTTTGTTGCTACTTCCTGTTTGATTTGTTATTTTATTGCATATGTTTCTGGAGTTAAAAGGCCCCTGCAGCAGAACTGGGTCTGGGAGTTGATGTGTTCTGTAGATGAATATTACATGTTTGCTATAGTTTTCGTACTCTATCAGCAATCCTGCAGAGGTTCTTGGAATATATTCTACCTGGATTGGTGCTTTTTAGTTGGTAAGAAGAAAATGACTTTACTTGGAGCCAGTGCTTGATTTTCTTGTTCTATAGCTTTTAGATTTAATGTTGTAGTTTTATCTCATGGACCCTTGTAGCGATGTGGTTTCTGTCAATGTGACAATATATGTTATGTTGTAGAGGATGTTGCCTGTTCATGGTAGTGTTGCCCCAGATGGTTTGACATTTTCTCCGCCTGTGTTCTGACAATAGTAATTTTGCTAATTTTATAAGTCTTATTAAAGTTTACTGTTTTGTTTTGTAGGCTGCGGAGCTCATTATGGCTTCAGTTTAAACCCCATCATATTGCTGCTGGTGCTGCCTACCTTGCTGCTAAGTTTCTAAATTTGGATCTTGCTGCTCATCAGAATATCTGGCAGGAGTTCCAGACCACACCGGCAATTCTTCAAGGTATTGTTTTCAGTATTTTTATAATATTTTAATGTTGTATTTGTATGGATACTAACCACTGATAATAACGCGAAATGAGCTTTACAATCATCCGAAGTTTGGATTTCTATAAACATGAGAAGTGGTAGTTAAGAAGCTTCGAGACATTTTCTTCTTTTAATTAAAAACTATGACGCACTTCCATATTTCATCTTTTTTGTAAAAACTTGTCTTCCGGGATTAAATTTTATACTTGTGTCTTGATAAAGTTGTTCAACAATAAATGCATGCACACGGGTTAACTGTCTACTCCCTCATTCTCAGTAAGAACGAGACATAAATTTGTTTAATTTCCACTTTCAAATTTTTGTGCAGAAAATTATTTATTTTCTTTTTAAGTTCTATTTCCCCACATTATGTCTAAATTGTTTGAACTTGTGAATGTTTGATGCAGATGTTTCACAGCAGTTGATGGAGCTCTTCTGATAGAATATTACTTTTTAGTCATAAGGATAAAGGTCAATGATACCCTTTTGCTATGTGGTATATATAATATATATATATATATATATATATATATGTGCATTCTTTTACCAAATCAGGATATGCTTATCAGTAGAATGTAGAATGAGAAGACTTGTGTCTTAAAAGGATTGGATATGTTCATATCGTCTTTCTGAACTGGCTGCAAAGATATTTTGTTACAGGTATCAACTTGTCGGAGCAATGACAAAATGAAATGATGATTAATTTGCCAAATTCTACTCTTTCAGTTTAAAATTGTCTGCATGGTTAGGTAAATATTTCGCAAAATCTTTTAGTATTTGAAGGCTGTTTACTCAAATCATTTCCAGTTTCCTTATAACAAATTTTTGAATAGATCATTGATTGTATAGCTGATCTGTCTTTTGGCTCAGCCTAAACAAGTTTTTTGTTTAGTTTTTCCTTTGAGATCTGAGGGATATTTTATCCACTTTTGAATCCCGCCCTTCGCACAAAAATGATTTTTTATTTCTATTAAATAATAATAATAGTCATTTTAGCTTCTTAGTTTAATCCTCGTTAGTTTTTTCTTAAAGTGTGTTTGGTTGGGGATAGTATGAGATTATTGAGGTGATATTATCTTATATTATTTGATTATTATGTTTAGTTGTTAAGTAATATAAGATTTTGGTAATCTTCTAAAATTAATAATAATTATTGTTGGTAATATAGGAGGTAATCTGATTACATTTATTTTTTTAGGTATTTTAAAATTATGTGGTAATCTCATTTTTGTTATAATTTTGTCTTTTATTAATAAAATTTTTGGCCAAAAATGCCTTTGTTATCTAAATAATTTACAATAAATTTATGGATGATTTTAACTTCATACTTAGGATTTTAAGACAAAATTACCTAAGACTATAGCCACTCCCCTAGCCATCCAAAAGACTACGGGTTGTTGGCCACCACTGTTGGCAGCCATTGGTAGTCATTGGAATGACGTATGACTGTTAGATCTGGTTGGTCGTGTGTTGAATATGGCCAGATTTGGCGGTCGTCAAATGGTCGGCGCTTCACGACAATGGTGGTTAGTAGCATTGTTTTAAAACCCGGATTGGAGGGCAACCCTTTTTATTGTCGGGGTCACGGGTCAACTGATCCAATCGGTTAGACCGGTCGGTTGGATCAATGACATCATCATATCCTTTAATATAATATGTTTAAATAATTATTGTTATGTTTACCATTGAAGCCAATTACTTCCATTGATGATTGAACTCAAACACCAATTTAATTAAATCTGAAAGCCAAGTTATGTATCCTTCAATATCCATTAATTCATGGAGTCCATAAACATATAAAATACAAATATAGTATATAAATAAAAGAACTTTTTTATTAGGGGGTTTAATGTAATGACAAGTTGATACGGAAAAGGTTTCAGAAAGACAAATAGATACCTTCAATCCTATTTTGTTATACAATTCTGTTTTATAATAATAAAAATAAAAAATGCCCTTTGAAGTTTGACATCTTAGTTTTTTATTAATTTATCATTAGTCAACTAATTCAATTGCATAAATACTCACATCATTATGGTGAATTACATTATGCCCTCATGTTGCAAGTGACCAATTTATCCATGTTTTACATCATGATGGTGAATTACATTATGCCCTCATGTTGCAAGTGATCAATTTATCGTTGTTTTGGCAGAAGCAGTATCAATATACTCGGTTGTGGCTGAAAATTGAAATTTTTCATAATTTAAAAGAAAGCATTCATAATTAACATCAATTCAGTACATGATATTTAGTATCAATTAAATCTTCATGGTTTAAACAGAACCATGAATTCAGTACATGAAAATGTGATATACAACTGAAACTTCAAATTAGGTTTGAAAAACTGAGCAGTTTCCAGATGCATACCACAGCCTATTCTCCATCCTGCAAATCCACAAATGCACACCCATAAGCTACAAAAACAAGCACAATTGCAATGTAATAAACTGTAGATACATACTCTTGTCTAGTACAAACATCATCATTGCAAATCCACAATAATGGGAATGCATCGTGCAATCAAACCATGTATATATGATTCCACAATTCAATCTTGTTAATTTAGCTCTCATTCTTTGCCTTAATTCTCTTCCGTTTAAATAAACAGAAAGAGCAGAGCAATCAGCCAAGAACCCAAACAATTTCCAACAATTTATGTTTTTTGAAAGAAACAGAAACTAAAAAAAAAAAATTCAGATGTAATACCCTTCTAATGCTCAACCCCAAACAATAAAATTGCAATAACCCTTTTAGACAAGAAACCATACAATAATAGCAATTAGCAACCAATAAACCAGAGCAATCAGCCAAGAAACCCAGAAAAATATAGCAAGCAACAACCAATAAATCACCCAACCAGCAAGCCAATACAAGGATAATAAACAACAAAATGCAACCCAACGACACATATAAAGAGCAGCAAAGCAAAACTAAGACAAAAAGAGATAAAAACAATGCAAGAGTTCGAATATCCTCCCCTATTTTCCACTCTTCACTTTTCAGAATATCCTCCCTAATTCTCTCCGACTCCTTTTTATCCCATTCAGAATCT